GTAGTGTATACGATGATCTACTGCACTAGACTATGGAAATTTAGTGTTCATATTTTAAGAAACTGGAAAGCAACAGTTCGTCTGAAACAATCCATCGTTCAGTCTCTAATAACAGAAACTCAATAATCTTTTTTAAGGAATTCAGGTGAGCAACTGGAGATGGGACCACAAAGAACCTTAATTAATTCCCGTTATAGAAGAACTTCCATAGAAGTTAAGACCAACAACAGGCTCACTGAAGTAGAAAAGATCAGAACATGCTGGTAGGATTTCCTGTAGTGTCTGGTGATAGGGCCACATTAACCAGGATCATAAGAGCAAATGGTAGTAAGGACGACAGACTCATGATAAAGAGTGGAACTTCCTAAGAGGTCCCATTACCATAGGCTGGGAAAGATCCAGAAGTGAAGTGGGTGGTAGTGAGCTCAAGAAATCGGCTGCAAAGATTTGAAGGAATCTCACGTACTACTGAATGGTTAATGTTTTGAAAAAGGGTTATGGTGGGCATGGAAAGTTGTAAAATAAAAAGAGTCAGTAAAGCATGACATAGGTATTCAGGTAAAATCCAAGATCTTCTTTCCTGTGTGTATTCAAATTAAGATTTCCAGTTCATAAGAGCAGTTGCCTTCATGCAAAAATAGAAATCACAGTGGCCCTGCCTCACAGGGTTTTGGGGAGGAAAAGTAAGCTAAAAAGGATAGAACACTTTGCAAATTGGATAAATCTATAATTGTAAATACTGTATACAAAGGAGATTTGCAATGTAATACTGAAAGGTGGAATGCTGAAAGGTCCCACATAGCAGCCCTTATATTTTTCCATGATATTGCATTCCACTCCCACTCCCACCTGAACAGGTATTCAGGCTTTTCCACATTACATTTTTAACCTAAATATAGATTGTAACTAAAGAAAATGTCCTCAAAAGAAATATATTTCCTATAAGCATTCTGATAACTCTTTCTTCTTTCCCAGTGGCTGTGTTTTGCCTAGAATCCTGTTTATTTATTTAAACATTATACGCTGCCTATTTTCCCCATGGCGTATCTAGATGGCCAAATTCAGTATTTAAGGAAGTAGAAAAAAAATCACCCCCCGCCCCCCGAGAAACAATTTTCTGGCAAATCCCCCACCACAAGGGCATTTCCAAGAAACACGGGTATTGGTGGGGGGAGGGGGATCCTGTCAACAAAAGGGTTATGATTAGTTATGATTAAGGCATGTAATTAGCTAGGTGGAGGAATGTGTGAAAACATCAAAGCTTCCTTTATTTCTCTTCCAGAACCTATCAGAATCTGCTATTCTATAGGATCTTATTTGTGCCTTAGCAGTAGGGGTGGCTGCCCAGCTGCCTATATTATAATGCTAGGAGGAAAAAAACTCTGGGCATCTTAGGAAGATTTAAGGATCAAAAGGTGACTACACAGATGGTCTGGAAGCTGAAACAGTGGTACCAGCACTGCTCAGTGTATCTCTTGAACCAGTTCTGTTTCACATGGATGAGGCAATTCTTTGTGGTGACCAACTGATATGCTTTTCATGTTTTGGTTGGGGTGCGGCTGGGGGGAAGATAAATAGCAAAGTAATACATGACCTGGGGGGGGGGGGGTGATTAGGTTGCTTGTTTTTCCAGTGTAGCTCTTTGTAGCTCATTTTTATCATTGTTTTATCTGTTTGATTTTTCTGGTGTGCCCCTGACTTGGGCATTTACAAAGGTGCCAATAAGCAATATAGGAGAAGTTTTCACATGTGATGCAAATTAGGGCATCAGCTTTTTGCCTAGTAGTACTTGTACAAAAATCAGCACTGAATCTGTGACAGCAGAAAGGACTATAATGAAGAAAATCTATCATTCTCGGGCAGGATAAGAACTCAATGTATAACAAGAGCAAGTCCATTCCACCCATTATGCTGAAGTTTTTGTATTCCAAACTTTATTGACAAAGAAACTTTATTGACAAAAAACATTTCATTTTAAAATAGCTCTCTTCCCCTTTGTAACTTTTTGATAATAATCATATTCCAGACTAAAAGGCATTTTTAAATTAGTGAAAATATCAAGTGGGGTAACCCGTATTCTTTTATCTGTCATGCAATCCTGTCACTTTTAAGAGATGCTAAGGGCTGTTTATCACTGTGTGCCCCTATAAGCGTTCTACCCGGGGCAAGCATACATAAAAATATGTGCTGCATGTACCTTACATTTTTGCATGTATGCATCAGTACATTGTATGCCTATAGTGTGAATTTAAAATACATGGTGAGAAGTAGCCTGACAGTGCCTTTTAGATCAGAGCATATTACCATGCATTGGTTTTATTAATTATGAATAAAAAGCAGAAGAGAACCTATTTAAATTGTACATGCCGCATTTGTATTGGCGGTTGCTGCATTATCAGTGTACACAAGGCTTTGCAACATAAGCAAAAAAAAATGGCTGTGGCCTCAAGAATCTGATGGTTTTATAACTGACAATGAAAAGAGAGAGTGGAGAGAGAAAGGCAAAAAGATGCACTGCTTCATGTCTTATATTGTGGCTGAAGAGATGAAGATTTGGATTTGCATTGTAAATATGGAAAAATGCAAATCCAGTTTAAGCATCAGCTTGTGGAATTCTTAGTCCTTCCACATACCTAATCCCCATGTCTATCTGTTACCCAACATACAAAACGTCAGGTGTGTTAACAGATAATGAAATACATGTTCAGAATACATTGAACAAGTCATTTTGGATGCAGCTTCATACGCCCTTAAAAAAGCAGGTCGCTGCTCCTGATGGCTATGACCCCTTTAAACAGCTTCAGCTGAGGCGCCAGTTGCACCCTTATGTGGAGAAACCAGATTTGACCTTGCTCATTCATGCCTTCCAGGATAGATCACTATCATGTGCTCTGAGTGGGGCAAGCATAGAGGACAGGGGGATCCCTACCTAGGAAGTAACCCAATTAGCAGCTTCCCACTGGGGCAACTCTACCTTCACGGTACCTGGGTAAGCACATTTTGTAGCTGCATCCCCCTGAAACAGCCTTCCTCCACCGTGGCAGGCTACTTGTGTTCAACTTCAATTCCCAGCATGCCCAGGGGTGGCTGGGGGATGCTGGGGGGTCGTCCATGGCATCTAACACAGCAAGGAATTACTGAGAGATAGGACAACTGGTCTGTCCAAGGTCACACGAAGATCCATCAGCTATTTCGGGAAGCGGATCGAACAACTATCTTTAATGGTGCCATCTATTTGCAGTTCTTAATAGGATCCTTAGACTTCTACTAGCGCTGCTCCGAGTTCCAGCCCCGCGCCAAATAAGCGTTTTTCTTGCTGCGACTGAGGGGAGCATCGCGGACTTTTTGCTTTCCTCCTGCACCACGAGTAGCTAGTATCTGGTCTTTTCTAGCTAACAGATGCGGGGAAGCAAGTCAGGGGTTAAAAGCCTGCCACACTTCATTGGCCTGAAGAAGGTTCGTTCCATTCTTAGGAACGCGCGCGTTCCCGGCAGCGAGGGATGGCTGGCCTGCTCCGCCACCCCCGCCTCATCGTACTATTTGTAGCTAAACCATAACAACGAACGCTTGGCACGACTGTGTCCGGCGCATCTTTCTTCCAGAGCAAGAGAATTCCTTTCCTGGGCAAACCTCGGTAAGCCGGAGAGGGGGCGCCCTGCTGGAAGTTCACTGCAGGGCGTCCGTTCGCAGCAAGACGGGGCGGGCGGGGATCCCCCGTTCGTACGGGGCGCCTTTCCAGCAACTGTCCCAGAATCACCCCGAAGGCTGCCGCTCGAGGACGCGTCCCGCCGCGCCACCGGCAGCGCGCACTTCCCGGCTGCCTCTACAGAACGACCTGGGCGGACTGGCGGGCAGCGCGAGTTCCCCCCCCCCCCCCCCCCCCCCCCCGGCCCCCCCAAAACCCCCCCGGGGGGGGGGGGGGGGGGGCGGGGGTCCCCCCCCCCCCCCCACTCCCCGGCCGGTCCCCTCTGCTCCCGACAGGCGGTGGGCGAGTGTGATTATGCCAAGAAAACTGGTGTGCGGAAGCATCGCGCGCTCTTATTGGCCGCGCGCGCTTCCGCGCACGCGCACGCACGCGCGCGCCGCCTGCCCAGCGCTTTCCTCCAGTCAGCTAGCCGGGCTGAGTCTCTCGCGCCGCCGCTCGCGTTCACTTCGCTGCCCGAGCCAGCTTCCCTCGGCGTCCAGCGCTGGGAAAAGCCCTTTCGGCGCCCCAGCCCTGCCCTCTCCCGCAGAACAGAGGGGAGCGCGAGGGTCGTGGGAAAGTCCTCTTAGCCATCTTTCCCCCGCCCGCCCCAGCCGACTGGGCAGCGGCGACGGGCTCGGTCCAGAGGTGCGGCGGCTGCTTCAGCACTTCCCGCAGTCGCGCCGAATCTTCCCTTTTGCAGGCAGGGACAGGAGAGGCCACATGAGGAAGCAGCGCTGCGTGAGTCGCCCCGCCGGGATGGGCTGAGCGGGGGGCGGCAGAGGAGCGTCTTCGCCAGCGAGTGAGTGCGTGGTTGGCGCTGCGGCTCGCGAAGGCTGTTGTTGCTGCAATGCAACACCGCGTGGCAGGCTGCAGGGCTCGACGGATATGCTGAGGAGGAAGGGAGGAGGAGCGGACGCGAACGCACGAGCCGAGGCGAGCTGGTCGATGCGAGGCGTCCTTTCCCCGGCTGGGCTGCAGGGAGCGGGCGGCGGGGGCCGCGGCAGGGGCTTGGCCTTCGCCTGCTGCAGCAGCAGGTGGACCCTGCAGGCGCGGCTCTGGGGATGAGCCCAGCGGGCGCGCTTCCAAGCCTGCCTTACGCCGGTTCTCTGCGCCGCTTGCCGGCAAGCACACGCTTCCGCCGCCGCCTGGAGGATCCCGCCCCCCCCCCCCCCCCCCCCCCCCCCCCCCGCCGCCCCCAGGGGGCCCCCCCCCCCCCCCCCCAGCGCCCCCCGATGCTCGCGGCTGCCCCAATGGTGCCCGCCCGCCCGCTTCTCCGTGACAGGAATGTGACCTTCCCCCGCCGCTGAGCCTTACAATGTGGTTTCAGGATGCCTCGATGTTCCGTCGATGTCTGGCGCCGCGTTTAAGGGGCGCTTGGCTCCTGCTGCTGCTGCTGCCGTCGAGCTTGGGCATTGTCCGCAAAGGGGGGCTGGCCCTGCATTGCCCCAAGGACTGCGTGTGCGCCAGCAACATCATCAGCTGCTCCAAAGCCGAGCTGAAAGTCTTCCCCGCACACCTCCCTCCCTACGTCTCTGTCCTAGACTTCAGTCACAACGAGCTGAAGCGGCTCCGGGCAGAATGGGCTCCTGAACGGCTCTCTCATCTCCACTCCCTCTTCCTCAGCCACAATGGCCTTCACTTCATCTCCACTGAGGCCTTCTGCAATGTCCCACACCTCAAGTACTTGGACCTCTCCTCCAATGCCATTGAGGCGCTAGGTGAGAACCTCTTCAGTAAGCTGGAGGAGCTGGAGGTGCTGCTCCTGTACAGCAACAAGATCTCCAAGATTGACCGCTCTGCTTTTGATGAGATGGCCAGCCTCCAGAAACTGTACCTGAGCCATAATGACATTTCCCGCTTCCCACTGGAGCTGGTGAAAAAGGAAGACCCTAAACTTCCTCAGCTGGCCCTGCTGGATTTGTCTTCCAACAAGATCAAGATTTTGTCTGTGAAAGAGGTGAACGAGCTCCCAGCCTGGGTGAAGAATGGCCTCTATGTCCACAGCAACCCACTTAGCTGCCACTGTGACCTCTACAACCTTTTCACCCACTGGCATAAGCGGCAGCTCAGCTCAGCTGTGGACTTTGAGGAGGAGCTCAAATGCCTGGATCAGGACAACCGAAACATCAAAATTTCCAGCCTCAGTGACCCAGAGGTCATGAACTGCAGCGAATTCAAGGAGCAAGCCCTGGAAGTCCACCGTGGGCAAAAAGTCATCATCAACTGTGACACCAGGCAGCGGGGAGTAACCTCTACAGAATGGACGACACCCAGGTTTGAGCGTGTCCCACAGGAGGGGGATAATAGCTCCATGACTGTGCTGACAAATGGGAGTCTCCAGATAAAAAACATCAGCCTGGAGGACATGGGCCCGTATACCTGTAATGCAGTAAGCCAGGTGTTCAACGAGACCTTCTATGTGCAGGTCACAGTCCATAACTCCACCCTGCATGGCACACCAGACACACTTAATACAGCCTACACCACTCTTGTGGGCTGTATCCTGAGTGTCATTCTGGTGCTCATCTACCTGTACCTGACCCCATGCCGTTGCTGGTGCCGCAACAGCGAGAAGCAGGCTAATCAACCAGAGGACAGTATCAACTCCTCAGTGCTCAGCACCACTCCCAATCATAATGCTGACGTGGCTGGGGGCAAGGAGGGATTAAATCGACACATGGTGCCAAGCAATGCACAAGGCCAGAATGGCAAGTGCAAACCCAGCAGCTCCCCCACGCAGCCCGCGAAAGGGGCTCCGAAGACCGAGCGGAAAATGTCAGACCCAGACTCTGTCAGCTCCGTCTTTTCAGATACTCCCATCGTGGGAACCCTGCAGAGTGAAGGAGGGAGAGGCTTGTCTAGCAGAGACAAAGCAGGGCCTGAATTAGTGGGGCTACTGTGATAACTCCAACTACAGGAAAGAAGAGGGGAAATAGATCTGTCCCCTTAAAATACCGTAGTCATGTCTGCAGTTCTCCAGTCTCCCACAGGATGTTATAACATTGCTGTTTTATTCGCCTCTTGTCAAGGCCAGCGCTAAAAACCACATGTCCCATCTTGTCCTTGAAGCACAGCCGTTTCTGAGTACTCCAGTTTTTGAAGGACGTGATTTTTCAGCTCTCTTATATTGGAACTTGACTTGTCCCACTAAGAAAAAGAAGAGGCACTCTGCTAATAGGCCCAGTGGACTAATTAGGTTTTCTAAATACCACCATTGATGGGACTTTCCTTCTAGGCATCTGTGCAAGTAGAATATCCAGAAGAGCAGCCCTGATCATCTGTTGCAGCAAAACTGGCAGTGTCCTATGTCATCTTAAAAACAGTATTATTGTGGCATACGCTTTCATAGGTGGCTATCTACTTCATCAGATGCATGAAGTAGACCTAGAAACTATGTCTTTAGCTATCATTCTTGGAAATTAAACCATAGTCATGTCCACAGTAGCTCCAGCAACAGTAGTCGTAGCCCCAATTAGCCATAGCATCGTAAAAAGATGTTACTTTTTTAACAGCTTAATTTTAAAATATATTACTACAAACATTTTTTGTTAAAGCAGAAAATAAAGGTTCTCACCATAACAGGCTTCTCAGGATATAATTCAAAGCATCTTCTAGCAAGCAGGCCTACCTATTTTAGAAACCTCTGCTCTGTTCTGGACTCTGAAAGAAATTAAAATTGCACATTTGGAAAAATTGCAGTGGAGGCGGTAGTTACGGAGCCTCGCTTCAGTACAGAACTTTGTGAAAAGGAGTTAAACCCAAAGATTGTAATGTTCGTGGCATCAAAATGCAAGAAGAAACCTACAGTCTTGGTAACTGGTAAGCCAGAATTCTACCCTGCTAGCTCTCCCACTTTTGCTAGCTCTGAGATGCAAAGAGACAAAAATGTGTCATGGTCCAAACCAGCTGCTTTCCCCCCACAGCTTTTTGCTTGGTGGTTTAACAATCTGCTGCCCCTTACTAGTTCTAGTCATAATAGCCAGGGAGTTCCAGTACAGTTCTTCATTCTTGCAAAACTTTAGTGAGTTTGGAGACTGTGGGAGTCTTTAAAGATCTGGGAATCCTGAAGTAATTTGGCAACCGGTTCATCTTCCATCAGTTTTCTTTTGTTCACCTAACTGCTTCAGGAGACCAAATGTTCTACAAACTCCAAGTGCTTGGTGGGGGAAAGGGAAGCTCATGAGTGACCCCAAATGCAGGAGCCACTGCAACAACTATGAGTAGGAGCACCTGTGGCCAATGACAAGCCTTTGTGGAATGCTGTGCTCTCTTTCAGCTCCTTCCTAAACCATACACCATTATGTCTGGCTCTTTTCTAGTATTTTTACATTTTGAATTCCTTTCTCCCTGGCTCCTTCTCGGTTTTTCTCAGGGAGAAGAGTGTAGAAAGAGCAAAGAAAAGGGGGAAGGACTCATTTTCAGCAAGTCACAGTGGCTACTCCTTTTCTTCTAATTCCATGAGGGTTCAAGAAAAGCCGTGTGTTAATTGCACTGCTATGGGGTATTCAGCATGACCTCTCCTGAGATCTCTCAAGCAAGTGATGCAGGAAGGTCCTGGCCCAAGACAGTCCTTGTGCAACTTGCCACGATCCTGTTTCTCAGGTCCTAACAAAAAGAGCCGAATTCCATCTACTGAACCCAGCTCAGAATGCTCCATTCACTGTGGGCAGCCTTGGAAAGCCCCGAAGCCATCCAGGAGGGGTGCTGTCAAGGGAGAAGTCCCTCTTCCCTTTAACATAGTGCTTTGCAAAAGTTCCCACTTGATCTGCATTCAGACTCCATTGCTAATCACAGCTGATTTACCTGTTCCCTTCAGAGAACAGCAGGACATTGAGGAAGAGTTCAAGAGAACTGGGATGTATAGGATGTATAGGGTAGAAATGTGTAATGCAATAAGCCATAGAATGTCTTGCACAAAACTGTGAATGGGCCCCAACAGCTATCATTCCCAAAGAGTGGAGCTCTGTGCTGCAGCCATAGGAATCCTGCTCACAGCCCTAAGGTTTACTCATCAGATGATTAAAGGAACGCCCAAGAATCATCGGAACCTGAACTGAATCCTAAATGGATGGCAAACAGCAACCCTCACTGATGAGCTGTAGAAGTTTCAGTCATTTTTCTGGCATATAATTAGGAAGAATGAGCACTCTAAACAAGCATGCGGTCCAAGCGAAATGCTCTCACAAGCCACATGAAGGAGAGGAAGTAGAGGCTGGGTTTTTGTTTGTAAGGGCGAGACAAATTAAAGCAATTGCCTTGGGAATGGTGGAAGCAGGGAGAGTTTAGCAATAATGGACTAGAATGACTGACTGGTTTTTGTAAATCTGTGATTGAATTCTGGTTCATGAGGAAGCACGGAAGTTGCCATATTCTAAACCCCCTCCAGTATTTATTCTCTACAATTTCCAGACACCAGGAACAAAATTAGAACTATAAAGTGTAAAGAAAGAACATGTCAAAGAGTCCCCTATGCATGTTTTTTTTTTAACTGAATGAAGAAATATATCAACTGGGGCTGTTGATGTAGTGTAAGGAAATCAATTACCTTATGCTATCAGATGGACTATATTTTCATGCTAGGACTTTAATCAACTCAGTATGTTGTGAAGCTGTTATACACCCTTTGCTACATGTTTGCTGTGTTGCTTCTTAAGCCCCTTGTTTCTTTAGCAGGAAGCAGTCTTTGCATATGATAAAGCTTTCGCAAGACTGTAGTTGTGGCAAAAAGCTAAGGAGAGAAATCAGCCTCTCCTCAACTCCAAGCTTTAATATGCAGATGCTTCCTCCATTCTGGTACCCTTCAGATCGCCTGGAACACAACTTCCATCAGCCCCAGCAAGCATGGCCAATGGCAAGCTATTATGGGAGACCAAAACATTTGGAGCGTGCCAGGTTGGGGAAGTCTGGTATATGGTATTACAACAGAACAATTTGCAGCATGGGTGTTCGCAGAATTTGGTCAGCATATGGCTGTATGTGCAGTATGGCCCCATCTCAGTGTAATTACCAGTCCTGCACAAACATTTGCACTATCCACTCATGTTTGCAAGATGGGTTGTTGCATTTAATGCGTGGGACATCTTATGCTAGACCAGATCATTTGTCTGCCTTGCTCAGTTTATCTGCTGTGACTGGCAGTGACTCTCTAGTGTCATCCTACACAAAGATTTTTCCCAACCTTAGTACCAGGATGGTATTCCCTTTACTGGCATGTAAGCCTATGCTCCTAAACAGCAGTTCTGTGCCTAGTTTTGGTTTGATGGAACTGTGTGAGCACCATGCTAGCATGAGTTGGCTGTGAGGAAGTCAGCTGTAGATGTTTCAGTATGCACCTGTGTGCAAGTATGTATATGTGGCTATCCACACTTTTAAACCAGGCTCAGTACATCCAGCGTCTACTGCTGTGCTTGAAAAGCCTGGTGCTGAGAGTGTGCTTTTCCTCTCTAGCTTTTCCAGGGGGAAACGTAAATGGACCAGTGGGTCCACTTTCATTTACTGTTTCCATTTAATACCTCAGTTCTTCTGAGACAACTTATGCATGAGAACATAAGAAAAGCCATGCTGGATCAGGCCAAGGGTCCATCTAGTCCAGCTGCCCACAGGATCTCACAAGCAGGACAGCCAAGTTTCCCAGCAACTGGTGTGTACAAGCACATTGACTCTGATGCTGCAGGAGAGCACCTTGTGACTCTAGAAGAATGCTGGGGGTCAGGATCACCAGAGTGTGATGAGACCTCCCTCTCAAGAAAGGGCCCACCACTGCTGACTCCAAGGGCCCTTTGCGCCTGCCTGTCTGCAGGCCACTCCTTGAGATAACTGCCTGCTTCCCTGCCTCCTTGAGCAAACAGGCTCTTGCAAGAGCAAGCAGGTAGACCAAGTATCCCTCTCTTGCCTGGAGCTCTTCCTCTGACTGCTTGTGTGGGTCAGGTCTGGAGGGCAAGGGCAAGTGAATGGCAGCTGTGGCAAGTAGAGCTTCTTGCCACAAAGCCCTGCTACCCCGCTGTGCAAGGGTAGATTTCTCTGAAAGGCCCAGTGCCATATTTCACAAACCAGAACTGGTCTCACTGGAAGAAACAAAACACAGGAAAGAAGGAAGCTGGATAAGTGACTTCTCACCCACTGAATCCATGGGTCTGTTGTATAGTGATGCTTTTATCACTCAACCATGCTTAAGAAATAAGTCTGGAGGTTCTGGTAGTCCCTGCCTGCCCTTATGCTTACCCCTGGCCTTTTGGTGTTACTTCTCCTACTCCATTAATCCTCCTAGTCCCCCCTGACCTTTGGTGGTCCTCACCACAACATTTGTAATCAGGATATAAGAAAGCACATCTAACCCCGTTGTTTCTCAGGTACTTCAAGATGCTGACTGGCTTACTCCCAGTAAGATTAATGTTGAGCTCTGTTTAGCGCTTTGATTTCCTGGCTGCAGTCTTCTCACACTAACGAGGAATTGGTTTTAGAGCAAAGTCTTTGAAGTGGAAGAACCACTCAAATTATTTTCTATTCACTCAAGTCGCTGTCTTTCCTGGTCAAAGCTCAGGGGGAAAAGGAGCCCTCCTTGCTCCTGTCCCCCAGATGGATATTGTGGCTCATCAATATTGACTAAGACAGCCCTTTATTCCATTTAAACTACTCAGTCAAAAAGAAAGCCACCCCCATGGTTTTCCAGTAGTAAACAGGTGGCCTAAAGGAAGGATCTGCCTGTTCTCCATGTGGTGCCAGAACCACACACCTCTCAACAAAACCACCTGCTTGCACCTGCTGTCTGTGGGCAACATGCTTAGAGTTCCTGCTGAGAAGCTAAACAAGCTGTGACTCCGCCTTAAGCATCCAGAAGAGAATTCTCTCTTCCCAGCTGGACTTGGCACCCAAAAGGAACATAGATTTAATGGAGGTAAGAATCAGGAACATGATGAGAAAAGATGTATTGTGGTTGTGGTCACTGAAGTATTTCTCAGATCATGTGCTGGATTTGCCCTTTACTTTCTGTGTAGCAGCAGTCAGTGCTTAGTGCCGATAGAAAAAAACTCCTTGGTCCTTTGATACTACTTCCTAGCTTTCAGAAAGGAAAGCATCTGCGTTCCTCCTAGATCTATAATATGTCATACAATCCTGAAACCAAGCAAAAAATAAACAGTCCTTTGCCCACTCCTTGTGACCTTCTGGCTTGCTCATAAATGACTGTTACATTTGTGGGTTTCTAAGGCACCTTAACATTAGGTCATTTAAGAAGGTCCATATATTACAGTTGGGACATGTGAGCGAGCACGATTGATTTTATTTGCTGCCTCTCCATCAACAAGCAATGTTCCACATGTACATCGTGGGCAAGGAATTGAGTTGAGAACTCTGAGGCCAATGAATCTTCAGCAGTCAAATGAGCACTTGACCTGGATGGGTTCTGCTGCCTTCAGTCTCTCCGACCTGCTGATGAGGCCCAGTGAAGCCTGTCACAGCAGAGGGAAATAAGGCTGCACAGCACTGCACTGTGCTCACGTTAAAAGGAACCTTCAGGTGTGCTTCCCGTTCCTGATACATTTGCAGGATGACGATGCAGAAGCAGACATGGCTTAGGGAAGGAAACGAAGCGAGAGGCAGACGAGCAACCTGCTTCCACTGTTTCACTGTACCCCTGTGAATCCTTATTAGAACACAGTGATAGCTCCTCTCGTCCCACCAAGAAGGTTACAAGATGCTTATAGCCCAGCATGGCCCCACCTCTCCCACCCCATTCTATGATTTGCAGGTCAAGCAAAATGTTACCCTAACCAGCAGAGGATGAATACATGCTTATCTGTTTCAGGCAGAGACAACAATCCCAAAGAGCATCTGGGCTATTTTTCTCTGTCGGGTAGTCTGTACTCTCCAGCATAGACATAGGTGAAAATAAAACATGTTTTACGAATTTACACCCACAGGATCTCTGTCTGTCTGTCATTGTTGGCTGTTGTGGCTGTTGTTTTTAATTTTCACCAACAAAATTAAGAATGGTTGGCATATGTTCCAAGTGGATGCAAATGCCCCACATAATATGGATGCAGAACTTGGCCATCCATCTTCATAACCTTTCACTTTTCACATGCAAACGTGAGGCATCTGAAGACAAACTGTGCTTCATAGCATTGGGTGCCATTGCTCAAAACACTGAAACTGTTACGGTATGAATTCTTAATTTGTTCTGGCTAATAAATTCCATACAGCCCATCTCAATTAAAGGCAATAGGACAAAATGCAATCAAGACCACAGCTTCCAGATACTGGAAAACTGAGCTCTCAGGCACTCACCTGTACATGGTGCCAAGC